GCTGACGCGACAGAACGCCACATGGCCCCCGCTGAACCCGTCACAAGGTCGCCCCCGCCAGCGGCACCAGAGGCTGCACCCCCGTGAAGGGGGCTGTTACTGACTGGGACGGAGAAGTACATGCTACTGCTCCCCGACGCCGCGGTGCTGCCGGCGCTCGTCCCTTGTGTGTCGGTGCTCATGCCGCGGGTGTGCATGGCGGCCGGGGGAACTGTGCCGTGCGAACCGGGAGCTAGCGGCGGCAACCCCGGCGGTGATGATGATGGTGCTACAGGTGCCTGGATATTCATCAAAAATGGTGATGCGCACCTATTTTCATCAAGTAATAGTCAAGGCAGGAAGGAAAAGGCATAAAAAGATGCATTCCGGGTATGTAGTACTGAATCCGCAAATCCTAAGTCCCGGCCAGTCCTCCCTTCAGCCATCTACTTCAGCCTCTTGGCCTCTCCCGACCTCTCGGCCAGAAGCACTGTCGTCAGACAGACAGACAGACAGACAGACAGACAGACAGACAGACAGACAGACAGACAGACAGACAGACAGACAGACACACGCAGCCACTGGTCGCCTGCACGTACCTTGTCCCCATGTTGAAGGTCAGCTCGTACATCTCCGCCAATGTCGCCCTGTGCATGTTCCACCAGGCCTGGCCTTGAGACTGCTCCGTGAACATCTTGCGATTGAAGCGAACCTTGACCAGCCGAACCGGGCCGCCTTTTTGTGCCGGTGGCTTCAACGTGATGTAGACGCCCTGCTCAGCAGTTCGTCAGCAGTTCGCCATGCATGTGGTGGTAGGGGGTAAGTGGATGGGGTATGTGGCGGTAAGCAATCACGGGGCGAGCAGGTAGCCATTGAGACGCGTGAAGGCGGCGGGGTGGCATCCTTTTCCCTCGCATGCGTGTGTGTAGATGGATAGAAGTGGATTCGAGCAGTGGTTACTCAACACACAGCCGCATCCCGCTGGTACGCCTCCGACCAACCCGCAGCGAGCCCAGGCAGCATGCGGGTGCCAGTGTCACCTGGCTTTGCAAACCATACACGGCGCCACACACCTATGCATGGTGGTGGAAGATGCAGCGCGTCCACTGCCTCCAATCCTACCGAGCTGTCATGGACTCCCGAGCAACCAGCCAACCGACAGACCGACCGACCGACCAGCAACTAATCCGCGCTCCCCACCAAGGGCACCCTCCAAGGCTTCCTACCGGCGCATACTGGAACTGCACACCCTCCGGTGGCAGCGTGTCCGCCGCAAGCGCCAAGGGAACATTGTAGCCCGATGATGATGACGCGTGCTGCTCTGTGCCGCCTGCCCCGCCTGCCACCGTGTTGCCATGTCCAGGCATACCTCCGCCAGGGACACCACTGCCGCTACCGTTGCCACTGCCACCGCCACCACCACCACCACTCGCGCTGCTTCCGCCAGGCGGCTGCTCTTCAACCACCATTTCGTGATGCATCGTGTTCGCCCACTCTACAAACGCGTTTCGCCGCCGCCAGATCGGGGCCCCGGCCCCCCCCCCGCCCCGGGCCCCACCCTTGCCCCCGCCCCCGCCAACACCAGCGGAGGCGGCAGCAGCGGCCAGGCTGCCGTTTGCTTCCTGCACGGCGGGGAAAGCTGGTACGGGCCCAGAAGCCGGCCCCGCAGCGTTCTCCAAGCACCCACTGCCCTCACCACTGGTAGACGAAGGGTAGGAGGTCTCGGAGGTGGGGCGGACCAGGCCGTCTTTGGTCGGAGACGGAATGGAACTTAGAGACGGCTCGTTCGAGTACTGTGGCTGTGGGATAAAGAAGAATGGGCGCGGGACAAGAACAACGGGCCATGAAATCATCATTAGCCGTCAAATGGTTACAGTCTATACACTCTGTCAATATCGCTGCAACGGTATGCGACGGGTACGGTACGACAGCTAGTGAGGCAACGAGAGAAGGTAACCGTCGCGCAGTGCTTTAGCTCACCTCGTATGGGACATGGCCAATGTGGTTTGGAGGACTGCAGCCCGCCGCTGGTGCCTGCTGCTGGGGCTGCTGGGGCTGCGTGGGCGTCATCGTCAGCGGCGGCCGCTGCTGCTGTGACACGTACATCTGCCGATGCAGGGAGCCCTGCGCCGCCAGCGGCAGCGCCACAGACAAGATGACGGAGCCCAGCCTATCAATGCCGGCTGCGGAATTCAACGACTCGTCCACGGCCGGCTCCATCTCCCCCCCGTCGCCGTCCTCGTCGTCTTCAGGCTCCTCGTCGTCCTCATCATACCCCTCTTCCAACGCCTCCTCCTCAAACTCCGCCAAAGCCTAAGACATGACAGTCGGCATGTTGATAGGAAGCGTGCATTAGAAGAAGACAGGGCAGGGCGTGAGGGAAGGCCATGCGAAACACATCTAAGCGATGAACCCCCAACGCTGTGTCCGAGGGCGGGGGACACCGTTCTTCTCCGCTACCGTTGCATGCAGGTTACCTGATGTCAAATATTCC